GCTGTATCTATCTGGAAGTAAGGGAGCAACCTGGTGAGCCAGCTCACCTACCGTTTGTTGTTTCTTGTGGAAACAACCAACAAGGGCTACTCACTGTTTTGGTATTGTAAAGCTACTCTGTCGACTACAGAGCTGCAACTAAGCTGTTACCATTGGGCGAGAGTACGGCGAAGTGGGAGGTCATTTCAGAAGCCAGAAGGTAATGGGCAACTAAATTTTGGTACCAGTGATGGTTTACAAACTGATGTATTAGAGAGAGGCACAAATAGAACAACAACGCCGAGCAAGCCTGCGTATATCGGATCCTATCGCAATAAGCGCAAAACTGAAAGAAGCATCTGTAGTGGAATATAGACGCTGCAACATGTTCCTAACAAGGATGATGACACCATCAATAAGTGATGTTTTAACACGTGTTTCTAATGGGATACACTGTGAATGTCCATGTAGCATGCCTGATGGAATTACTACCGAGACTGGCATTACCACTTCAAGAATTTCACTGTCTTACTCCAGTAGCTAGATGAGAAAGCAGGGGGGAGACAACAATATTATGTAAGCGATCAGAGAAATTAATGTTAGTAATTACACTGGCAATACACAACATATAACAGGATTCTATAGCTCTCTGGTACCAGGTTTAAATATTGGTCCTCACAGTCCTAAACAGTGGTTCTGGAGAGAGAGAAAAAAAGGATCATCAAACAGTAGTTATTAATCTTATAATAGAGCAATGCCGAAACAATGATGTGACACTCAGGTTCAAATGGCAAAAACACGAACAAGTTCAAGCAACAAGATCTCTGTTTTGCTTCATCTAGGAGTCTGTTCCTAACCTCTCAGGTTCGCATCCAAGGGATTGATGTCATTAGCTCCTAGTAAACATACATCTTTCAGGGAAGCCACACTATATGTGCAGTATACAATACATCACGGTTGTGACTAAAGACCAGTAATGGCGCTTTAACTTTTTTGGCAGTTTCTGAGATGTGACAGTCCTTATGATGGAGTCCATATTGTTTTGGGTTAAGAGAAACAATCATTCTTTCGGGCCATGATGAAAACATGACTTTTCTCTATCAAACTACAGCCATTTATCAGTTATCATTGATGCCTGAAGCTCAATTTCATGACATGCATGGTGCATATTCTCCAATCAAATTCTCACTTTCGGCAACTGATTTGTAGACTACAATATGTTTGTATCCACACCTAAGTGAACAATTTAGACAAAATTCTGAGGATATAATTAAGATTAAGTGATTATTAACTAAGAACAATAACAAGGGAATAGTGCCAGACAGTTATCTAGCTCGTTTTTCTTTTTCTTGAGACCGCTAGGCCGTCAAATTGTGAAGTCAAGCTAGAAAAGAAAACAAAAGGAAGAAGGTGTTGTATTCTGCACATGTGTCATAGGACTATTAAGCAATCCATGCATACAAAGCTCTAATTATCAAAATAGTATGTCAATTACTAGTTGCATCAACTTAACGGGACAAATCCTTTAATAGTCCTCGAAGCACATGTTACCTGATTATATCCTCAAGACCTCGAAGCACATGTTTCATTTGCCACTTTGCCAGTGATCATTACTCCTGGCAAGGAATCGATATTTTACAGGTTCATGACCTGCACGAAACCGAAAATGAACATCTCAAGTCACAAACTGTTAAAGCATACCCACCCACTCTTCCAACGGATATCATATCAAATCAAACTCTCTTTATGGTAGAAGAATAACATATTATGGACAGTGATTTTCTTTGTGAATAGATCAAAACTCAAAAGAAGAATTATTTTGTGTCTGCTCGTCCTACTTCTCCCTATATGATCAGCAAGTGAAAGCTAAAAAAGCAGACATTCTGTGTATATGCAGTACTAATTCGAGAAGCCGGGAAAGCTTCATGGCAACATGCCTGGCATGGCAACCCCATCTTCACTGTATGTATACAAGGATGTGCAAGCTAACAGCTACTGACGCTAGATTTACAGCAAAATTGGAGCAGCCAACAGGATTTCTGAGCATCACTCGTCAATTGGTTACAGAGAGACGACCGACCTTCCAGTCCTTCTCAACGAGGCATGCATCGATGCAGCATCTGATCCTCCCTATTCAGACACCGGAAAAACAAAATCTAATATCTGCAGCGGGACACGTTTGAACAAATTCAGATGAGACACACTGATGATCTATATATATTCTTCGCGGCACGGCGCGAAACAATACAACACCCACATCGGGGAGAAAAAGGGAAGAAGAAGAAGCCTATCCTGTCCACCAAAACAACCTCTAGCGATACCGCAGTAGCGTGTAGCGAGCAGAGCGCGGCGGGACAGCGCGTCTACCTCGGCCGGGCGACGGGCGACGGGCGCCTCGCCGCCTCCCCCTCCTCGACGAGACCCATTTGGACCGCGAGGCTCGCACCGGAGAGGAGGCACGTGCGCACGGCCTCGCAGGCGACGGCGGTGTCGGTTCGGACTTGGGAATCGGGGCCCCGGGGCGAGGGGAGGGTGGCCGCAAATTGCAGAGAAGTTGCGGGCGGGGGCGAGCGAGGACGTCAGGAGTCAGGACGACGACGATAGGAGTGCCGAGTGCGCACGCAGGCGACGTATCCGCGACACGTTAGAAAAACTGGGCTGGGCGCTTTAGGGTTGGGCTTCCTACCTGACGGCCCGTCCAATGAGAAGAGAGAAAGTGCGTAGACTGGGCCGGCCCATGGTCTGGCAGTTTTCGAAGGCCCATGTGTAACACTTGCATTTTGCCGTGCATTAACAACGATCGCATTGCACAAATCATTTTATCTTCTTTTTTTTCGCTTTTCTTTCCGTGATTTCAAACGTTTTAGCGGTACTATAAAAATATACTCTGTTATTAATTTAGTAGTAATATTCATTTGATGACATAACTATTAGTATTCTTTTTCACCTGTATGATCAAACTAAAAACAAGAATCATACTCTTTCTATTTTTGGGATAGATGGAGTAGTATCCGTGCCTTAGTAGTCATGTTCTTAGAAGGGAACGGGAATGGAAACGGAAACTCAGGTGATACTTTATAATGTGAAAATCAAACTGTTTTCAAGTCGGGAACATGAATATTTTCGATGGCCATGCCCCACGTTTCCGGCTGATAAGATCGGGTCTTTGAGAGAAAAAGGAAACCCTGTAATGAAAGGAGGAGCCGATCGTGTTTGGCATTCGGCAAGGAAAAGTGTCTCACCGGCACGTGGTGTGTGGCACGGCTAGGCGTTGATGGAGGCGTTGTTCGGCATGGACCATTCATTCCAAAGCGGCTTCCTGCTTCGGACAGACAGGCACCATTCTGTCGGTGGGTCACGTGGTTAGGTGCGCGCGCAATGCAGCAATCAGCAATCAGCAAGAATAATCCTCGCGCCAGCAGACCAGATAATCGACATGGCGCGTGCAAGCGGGGCACGGTCATCAGCTGCCGCCGCGCGCTCCAATCCAGTCCACGATCAACCACCGCGCGCTCTTTACCGTTGCAACGGCCGGCGTTGGACGGCCGGATCGATAGCGACTGATGCATGCATTTTTACTTGGTCGCCCCTGACGGATTTGGTATTTTCTCTTACTAGCTATGGATGCTCCAAGAGGAAACGTACGGGTTGGGTGGCGTGCCTGGCCAGTAGGGATGAAAACAATATATTTTCCGATCTTATTTGCCGTTTAGAGGAGTTGAGATCTGTCTGTATCTGAGTCCGGATATTCAACATCCGATACCGTATCTGTATTAGAATACTCAAATCGCATATTTATGATGTCGATACCAATCATATTCTATTCAGTATAGTGGACACTATCCGTATTTGAATTCGAATCTAGACAGAAATATAAAAACGAAAGTAATATCCGTATCCGTCATCTCTACTGGCTATACACGTCTGAGGAGCGAGTCCGTTGGACTTGACGACGACGACTGCGCCAAGCTGGCCGCCCCGATGGAAAGCGCGTCCTCTTCCTTCCTTCAGCGTTAAGAAAGAGTCGACTCGGGCCAGCGAGGGATGCGTGCATCCAAACAAGGAAACGACGACGTGACGTGCGTGCCCAACCGTCCGGCCGATCGATGTGGAGAAGTCCAGCAAGCGTGCTCCCAGATGGCAAGTCATCACAGTCGTGTCTCATCTCCTTTTCTAGACGGTCTAGTCGCTATACGTGCCCTGCTGCCGTTTGCATCTTTCGCTAGCTCGTGTGTTCGTTGACACCTGGAGTTTATGCTCCCCCACTTGGGGTCTTCCATTGGGGAGCTATGTTCACAATCACAAGTCAGCACGGGCAGTGCCCACACCCACCCTCTCGCTGTGTATCTATGTATCGTCTAATCATCATCACACAAACAAAAAAACGACTCCCTCTTTTCTAAATTTATATAAGTTGTTCTATTTTTTCTAAGTATATATTGTTTACTATGCATCTAGATATACTTATGTCTAGATATTAGCTTAGAGAAGGTAGCAGTGATTTGACACACATCTTGAAATACTATGTGTATCGATGTTTCTTTTTTTAGAGGATTTTTAGAGGAGGTGTATCGATGTTGGAAATGTTTAAGTGCTACAATTCTCTTCTTTTGGCGTCTATTTATAACTTTTTTTCCTCCTAGTTAGGCACCACTATGCTAATTAAGTTTCACGCTCCACCACTGGAAGACTCTAATGCGCAAGCTAAGGTCGCTTGCGAGCTACAGTGACTCCAAATAAAACTCACTAACGAAGGATTAATCTGCAAAATCACAGGCGGTTACTCTTTTGCTAAATACACCCTCCCTCCGCCCACCTTCTCCCAGCCGACCCCCGCCCACCTTCTCCCACTGCCTATTCTATTCCCCTCCCTCCCCATCTCCGCCGTCCTCGCCTTCTCCAATACACTAGGCGACACCGCACGCGCGCGCCTCCTCCCTCGGCGGCGTCGCCCTAGGGTTAGGGTTCCGGCGACTTCCCTCCCTTCCGCGTCGCGGCGAACGCGTGGGAGATCCGCCCCCATGTCGTCCGACCCCTCGCCCCACCTCCCGTCGCCGGTGGCCCCGCCGGGCGCGGCGGAGGCGGATCCCCAGCCCCTGCCCCTGCCCCAGCCCGCTGAGCCGCCCGAGGTGATGCACCGGACGAGGGCCGTCGACTTCCTCGGGCGACGCACGCCCATCGTCTACCAGAACGACAACGGGCCCTGCCCCCTCCTCGCCATCTGTGAGCTCCCTCCCCACCCTCCCGTTCGACTCCGAACCCTCGCGAGTTCGCCGCGTGTCTAGTGGCTGCCCGCGATGTTCATGCCACCGGTGCGCGTTTGTGCAGGTAACGTGCTTCTGCTGAAGAATGTGATCAGCCTGAACCCTGACGAGGGCGAGGTGTCGCAGCAGAGGTTGCTCTCGCTCGTGGCCGAGCGCCTCATCGACCCCAACATCGCCGTACAGGTTCGGCTCTAACTCTCGAGAGATCGGGTTGTTCGTGTTCGGGGTCGATCAATGCGGGAATGGTGTTGTGTTGGGATGCAGCAGCAGCAACTTGCGGGCTGGAATCTAGTAGTTAGGGTTGCTGGTTCTGGAATTTCTTGGTGTGTTAATGTTTTCGAGTTGCAATTCATAGGACAAGGACGAGGAGTATGTTCGCAACAGGGAGCAGAACGTCGCGGATGCCATTGATCTTCTCCCGCTACCGCAACAGGCATTGATGTGAACGTGATGTTCAGGAAGTGCGTAAGGTTTTTGGCTTGTTGACCAGTTGTTTGTCACGTGTGCCTGTGATGATATGTTTATTTTGATGCTTACTGGGGTGTGTACACATTGCAGGATTGATGACTTTGAGTTCACCGAGAACGTGCTATATTTGATCTTCTGGATATCCCGCTATACCATGGATGGATTGTGGACCCTCAGGTGTGCTATCTTTCCACTTAGCAAAAATGCTATAGGCCTGTGTTATCTTGTGATGTTGCTGATGTCAGTTAGAGTTGTGCATGTCATTTTGTTCCTAAGTTTTGCACTAACTTTATCACTCTAATCCGCCAAAGGGCCTCTAGTCCAACTGGTTAGAGCGTCCCGGCGGCACTCCTCAGGTCCTGGGTTCGACTCCCCGTGCGAGCAAATTTCAGGCTGGGGTTAAAAAAATCCCCTCGTCTGTCCCACGCCAAAGCACAGGTCTAAGGACCGGCCCGTTCTCACAGGGCGACGGTGCCGCTGTGTAAGGGTGGGGCAGGGGTTCGGGGGTTTTCTGGGCCTGCGTGAGAAGGTCTTCTTCTTAATGCAATGCCTGGGGGTGGTCATACCCTCGTAGGTCCAGTTTTTTTTTATCACTCTAATCTATCGCCTAAACCATCCGACATAGTTATGTGATAGTTTTTTTTGTATTTTAATTGATACAACTGATTCTTTTAGTCCTAGTAGAAAGTCCCTCTGTTTCCATAATTGGGTTATACCATTGGCTTGGTAGGTCTTTGTGTGTGTGCACGTGCACGCGTAGGCACACACGCTTTTCCAGAACTTGGTATGTTTACTATCTTATTATGCAAAGCGATCGTTAGTCTAGGATTCATACCCTAGTCTCTGACTACCTGCCTCTGTGTTGATGATTCACTTCTGGTTCGATATTTATGTCTGCCTAAAATTGTATAGTCTACATAATGATCTCTTTTAAGATACTCACGTGCGCAGACCTAGATTATCCATTTTCTGAAAGGATTAGTGCAATTAACAACGTAGTTTCCAATTAATCGGTTGCAGCTGGTGCCCTCACGTGGTTGCACTAGGAAAGACTTAAAAGGAAAGTTAATTACTGACCGACTTTATCTACATAGAGAAGTTGTCCCCTTATATGGGTATTAGGAAACCAATAAAATTCACAACTGGTTGGTTGTGTCCATCAGTTAGGAAACCGTCAAAATTCGAAACGTGTCCATCAATTTAACAGGCAAGCTTTCTGTTTTTGATTGGAAATGGGATTATCCTCTGTTCGAAAAAAATAACGTGCAAGGTCCACCGCATTATCTTGACAAAATATCTGCGAATTCGACACGGGTTGAATTTAATTTTGTCTAGTACTGCCAGTTAGACTTGTCCCTTGTCACTTCTGCCACATTTTATATTACATATGACCCAAAAAAAAGTTTTGTTCCTCAACACTCACCTGCAACATTTATCTTGCATTCTCGCAACCCACCTGTATGACACGTTGGATCCATTCTCTGTGTTAGCTCTGCAATTATTCACTGCAAACAGTAGACACGGACAAATGGTGATGCGAACAAAAGAAAATACACGTTGCATCTGTTTGTAGGTTACTCTATGTATGGGCCTGCCCATGTCACGTTCCTCTCGTTATTTGATTCTGGTCGGTAAACTTGTATTTCTGATCGAAATGGTGGTGTTCCTCGCTTTGGAAAAAAAATTAATATGTACATGTTACAGATACATTACTTTCTATTACGCTAAGCTTTCAAATAGAAAATCACTAAGATGCATTTAATAGTTATGGATGACCTGTTGCCGGTAATAGGTCATCTCCTTTATCCTTAGCCATTTGATTAAATAGAATGGACGGTCCTTACTAATTTGGTAGTACCCTGTAATTTTCCCAATATAATAGATAAAAAACAGTTCATTTTGCAACTTGCAAGCCACCTGCTTACCATTGCTGATTCATATTGTCTTTATTTAGGATACTGAAACTGCTACTGCTATTGGATCGAAGTCCTACAATGCTCTTGCCTCCGGACTTGCTGAATTCAAGTCAGGTAAACCAACAGAAGAAAATAAACATGTGGAGGAAGAAACTGTTGATTTTGCTGCCGCAACAACTGCAACTTTAAAGATTCCGTCTCCCAGTGTTTCTCGTGGGAGATCATTTGATGAACTTACTCTCTCAAACTCAACTGAACCACATAAAAGGCGAGGTGACCTTGAGGAAGAAGAGGAACTGATGAGGGTCCTCAATCTATCCAAAGCTGAAAGTGGGGATGCAGTTGATGGAGAAGTTTCTTTGGACACTTCACATAGTCATTCATCGTCCAACATGGAGACACCACAAAGTGAGAGTTTTCAGTCAGAAGCACCTGAGGTGGTGGGGGCTGCAAAAAAAGAGGAACATGGCGATCACGCTGTGAGTGATGATGGCTCCATGCTCACAAATGGTGCTGTTAATGGCAGTGAAGTTGTGCTTGAAGAATCCCAAGAAACTTTGACATCTAAAGAACCAGAGGACAGTGGAATAAAGAATATGTTACCAGGGGACCTTGATATACCTATTCAATCTTCAGAATCTACTCCCTCTTGTCCGTCTCATGAATCCTTTGCTACCAGTGATCACCAACCTGCTGTTCCTACTCTTGTTGAAGGTGATAAAGAAACCTGCAGAGAACAGTTTGATGTACAAATTCATGGCCAGTCTAATGATACTGAGGCTGCTTGTGACTCGTTAGTTGCAACTTGTGGAGCTGTTCCAGGTCATGCTACAACAGAACTGGATGTGAAAAGTGATTTTTTAGATAAATCTGAGCCTCTACCTTCAAGCATTCATGAATGTGAACCAATATACCAAGGTGAAGAGCACGTACTTGGCACCACAAATATGGTGTATGAAAATCAAGAGCCAGTGTATGAGGGGGAGGTGGTTCTTGCTGAGCAGGCTGACAAGACTGGGGAAAGCAGCCCTTCCGTGGATGACAAGGCCACAGAACATCAATGTGAGATTTTTTTTTGTTATTGACTTTTGTACATGCGTGAATCTCTTTGTACAATGCAAGAATTACTATATTTGGCTTCACACTTAAATTGATTTATTTTCAGGGGAGCTGATTGATAATTTTCTGCAGACCACTGCTAACCAGCTGACTGTCTATGGGTATATTTCTAATAATCTATGGTTTAAATACATGTTCTCAATTGTATTCTCATTTATCACATTGTCAAATTTCATTGTTGCAGTCTCTTCTGTTTACAAGAGGGACTTAACGAAAGTGAGCTTTGTGTCTTCTTCCGTAATAACCACTTCAACACTATGTTCAAGGTATACTAGTTTTTTCAGTATTTTAGTACTTGAACTGGAGCTGTCTTTATTTCTTATGTATATTTATTCTGCAGTACAACGGAAGTCTATATCTCCTAGCAACTGATCAAGGTTTTATAAGCCAAACTGATTTGGTATGGCAAAGGTTGGATGAGGTATGTTAACTCCTGTGATTATTTTAATTCTCGCTTGAGATCAAAATCTTTACTGATCTTTTTCATTCTCAACTGACAATCATTAGGTGAATGGAGATGGGGTTTTTCTTACCAGCAACTTCACACCATTTAAGGCTGAAACTCCAAGAAATGATTCATGGAATGAACAGCGAGCTATGACGAGTACTGCTGTATGTATAACATCAATAAACTGCTGTAGTTTTTATTAGGTACATTAATGTTAACTAGTTCAAATTTATCTTTGTTCACAGGATTATCTTGCTCAATTTGACAACACTTCTGGAAAGTATGTTCTTCCTACCTGTTTTTCTCAATGTGCTTTATTGTTGTGTGTGTGTACAACATTCCTAGTTTGGATTTCTGCAACCATGTGAATCTTGTATGAATGGTACTGTGCAGAAAATGTCCGTCAGTAGGGCTATAAATGATATGCTAGTTGAAGCTATAGTTTCTTTTCTGATCTGTTGATTGTTGCTGTTAACCAAGCGCCATGACTTTGAACTTCGACTATTTGATGGTTTTGCTGTCATTGTGTATTGGACTGTCGGCTTAGCATGTACTTGAATGACCAATATATGTCTTACTGTGATTTTGAATGTGCTCAACGTGCTGAATCATCATAGATGTGCATTGCATGTGTTGTCTAAATTCTAACACTACCACATTGGCCCTCCTATGCTTGCAGCTCTGATCTGGAGCTAGCTATAGCACTTCAACAGCAAGAGTTTGAGCGGCAGCCACAAAGGTTTCAAGCTCCACCACCACAGCAGCAACAACAACAGCAACAACCACCTCAGACGCAGCACCAACCGACTCAATCTGGCCGACCAGGACTTGTTGTTGGTCCAAGGGTACGTTTTCTTTGTATTACTTGTACCGCCATCAAAACCTCATTTTACATTACCACATAACATTTATCAACTTGCTGTTTGGGATGATCCTTATAGTTTAGATTCAAATATGACTGCAATCTATTGTCTTGAAATAACCATGTTTGCCTGGTTTTGAATCCTTAAATAGCTACTGTATTCAAACCAGTACGTTATTTCCGAGGTCTTTAAAGATTCACTTGCGAAAGTCACCTGTTTTCCCTCAGTACACTTAATACCAACAATGAATGGTTACTTCATGCAATCATGCCCCTAAACAGGTAGAAGTGATGGTGTTATGTGAGAGAGCATACAAAGAGGTTGAATGCGTGGTCACTTTAGTTTGCTATAATAGTTTGCTATAATAGACAAAAAAATATGTGTTTTGTTTGAAGCATCTCTTTAAATTGAAGGTGACAGTTTACCTAACATGTTATGCTCAGTTCTTGATCATGTTTTGAACTTGGTTGTATCGCATGGGCTCTCTTGTGCTCAGTTCTTGATCATGTTTTGAACTTGGTTGTGAGCATCGCATGGGCTCTCTTATGCTCAGTTCTTGATCATGTTTTGAGCTTGGTTGTGAGCATCGCATGGGCTCTCTTATGCTCAGTTCTTGATCATGTTTTGAGCTTGGTTGTGAGCATCGCATGGGCTCTCTTGGTCCTATTCTTGTACTGTTCACGCCATGTTTCCTGATGACTGCTTACTACTTCTGTTGCTGATGACTGATGGGTCTGAACATTGTGCTCATCCTTGCAGAGGTCCAACGTCCCACCTCCGTCGAGAAGTGAATCGAAGAAAGAGAGGTGCATCGTGATGTAAAAATACCTTCAACAGAAAAGTAGTAGAAAAAAGAGAGATAAGAGACGCATTATACTGTAAAGAAATGGTTTCTTTTGCGGAGGCAGTGTCTGCGTTTAGTCACCTTGAGCCATCCCCCATTTGAGCTTCTTTGGTTTCACTTTGTTGTCTCTGATGCATGTAAATAACCTCAGCGAATAAAGTGTAGAAACAGATGCTATCAAAGTGATGGCCCCATGCAATGTGGTTTCATTAATAGCCCGTGCAATGTGATTTTATTCGTCTCCCTGTGCAATCGATTGATTCCGTTCGTTCATTAATCGCAATGCAAGTATGTACGTCCATTTTCATCCGTTCTGAGCTGCAAGTGACAGGCTTGTCTTGGAACATAACGAGATTAAACTGAGTCGTTTTGGCTTTCATAGAAACATAACAAAATTAAATTGAAGTCGTTTTGGCTTTTCTAAAAAGTTATGTATCTAGACATATGTTACGTCTTAAATACACAGTTTGTATTTAGAAAAGTCAAACAGCCAAAATAACTTTGATTTGGAATGGAGGGATCAAAGAGTTGCAAAACCAACAAGAATGAAGACAGCTTAAGGTTACGAAATCTTGTTTGTCCAAAAGTGTTTTCTTACAGTTCAGATTACAGATGCTTTCTATGTGCATTCTCAGTTCCATCGACAACCTACTAGTCCAGCGCATATCTCACAACAGATCTCCGTAATGACAGTATAATAATTTGAACGAAGCAACTAATCAAAATCCACGCACTATACTGGTCAGCCACTTGATGCAACCCAACACTATGGGTGGTTTTGTTTCAAAGTGGAGGAGCCCCGGTGGGTATCCCATTGCATAAACGGAGGGATCCCCTGCCTGCGCCTGGCACTGGCAGTTCCAGCCTTTACTCTTACACGGCATCGCCTTGCCTCAGGTGTTCAGACTATCTCGATGTACACTTCCCCATTGATCGGGGCTGCAAAGAACGCAATCAGGAACGGGAACCTCCCAAGACACGTCATGAAGTCGTCCCTGCTGATCTTGTCGTCGCCATCTATGTCGAACGTCTTGAACAGCTCCAGCATCTGTCAAAGGTTACATGGTGACATCATGGTGGTGAAACAGCGTTACGTGTTGTAGCAGAGGGGCAATGGGGATTTTACCTTATTATCAGACGGCAGCAGCATGCTTAACCGCAGGACATCAGCTAGCTGTGCCCTGGAGATCTCAGATGTTTCAGGATCCCGGCACTTCTCAAAGGCAGTCTCACAGGCACCCTGGAACAATGGTTGCTTCCTCAGGTGCGCGCACCCAACCAAGAACTGCATACATGATACACCTATAAACCTTAGCGCTAATGAAATATACAGAACCAATGCATTACAGTATTCTTGGGTGTCATATGTAAAAACTGTGAAGCACCATGGCAGATGTAAAATTCAATCGAATTAAGGTCCATACCTGACGGAACGTAATCGATTCCTTAATGCCTAAATCGAAGTAGTGAAATATCTGGAAAAAAGAGTTAGAAGTTCAGCAACGAGGGAAATCCAGTTAAGCTAATAGCATTTGTAGATACTGTGTCAGTACCTTCTTGCACAGAGGACTGCAATCCAGACCAAAATGAGCCCAAAAATCTTCAGCTTCCACACGTCCACTGCAATGTTGAAATGGCATTGTTTATCATGTATGAAACAATAGAATAACATAGATGCTTGATGGAAGTTCTCTGTTAAGGAATGAAGAGTCTTACTCGCTATCTGGATTCATAGCCAGGAAATGTTCCAATAGTTCCATTGCTTCTGCTGTGCTTACACCATAAATCTGAAAGACATAACAATACAATGCTTCATTCAACGGTTGGTTGTGATAAAGGAATTGGCACACTACATACAAGTACACTAATGCATAGCTAGCTATTCTTGTAGGGAATAATTCAGCATAATCTACTTTTTATTGCCTTATGGATTTTGACAACAGCAGCATCTGCATACTGCAAACACATGCAAACAATGTAGTTAAGGAAAAACTTACATCTTTAACCCAAGCCATTTCTACCATGTAATTTGAGCAGTTCACCTGCAAATAGAAAACTCAGCTTATTAGAGGCATATTTCCTTATAGAGGGATAGCAGATGTTCTAGCAAAAAAGGTCAGAGCAATTGTTCGGGAATTCATAGTTATGCATAGCTAGCCTTTTTACCTTTCCAGCTTCTACTGCTCGTGCCATAATCATAGAATCACCATATGAATAGGAAGTCGGCAAGACATTGAGGGCGCGAGCCATAGCATATCTGGTCTGCAAGAATAAAAAGTTGTAGGGAGAACATATTATCACACATTATCACACCTCTAGTGAAAAGCACAGGATGTTAGATGAGAAATTTATTTGAGTTGAACATACTTACATCCTCCGCAAAGTGAAGGGCATTCTCTTGCTTGATCTCAGGAGGGTAGACAACAGGGAGGTACTCTACCTGTATATTATTAGATGATCAATGAGATGAGCTAATTTTGCAAGACATAAGTGCAAAAAAGACATAATAGTTCAGACATTTGTTAGGCCAAATTCAGCAGGCCATGCATACCTCCATGAAATTATGAAACTGGGTGAACATCTTGAACATGAGCTTTAATAACGATATATTCCCCCTGAAACACAAAACATTGTATAGATAAAAATTAAAAAATGCTGAAGCACAAAGATGAATGTACATCGAAAAGAATATCCATACAGAAAGCTCACCATGATTGATCAAAGTGAACATGTGGATAACGGACAACAACAGGTTGAACAGGGTAGCCAGGTATGAATGCACCATGTTGGAACGAAATCAGGAATCTCCCATTTGTTGTGGTGCCTTCAGGGAATAATAGGACCCGCGGGAAGCTATTGCAAGCTGCCTTTCTCTGAAAGGACATCCTAGAGAGTATGTACCATACGAAGAAATAACTAAAAGGCAATCATGTTATTCTAGGATAATTTGGTTGGTGTTGATTTTAGAATCAACGGTCTGCTGCAAATGAAATTAAAAGATCTGTAAAGCAGGCAACCCCAACTTGTTTGGGACTTAAAGGCTTTGTTGTTGTTGTTGTTGTAAAGCAGGCAACTGCAAGGAGTAACTTGTAGTTGTCCCTTTCTGCATGTTACTTTTTCCATGTAAGTCAATGTAGAGCAATCAAATTCAATAACTTACAGGTTACATAAAGCAATGGGGTGCTAACATGTGACAAAATACAATACAATGCTTTTAAAGCCAACCAAGCCATCATAATATCTAATTAATAAAAGGATGAGAATCTATGGGTATGACAGGAGCCGTTCTTACCTTTATTTCATTTACAGCAGCCTTCCGAGAAGCTGGTGAGAATCTATCAACATATATAACCTGGAAAAGGCTGTCTTAGAAGAAACTTGGAAATGTAGACGCTATCATAGGAAAATAGAACCGAGAAGCTGGTGAGAATCTATCAACATATATAACCTGGAAAAGGCTGTCTTAGAAGAAACTTGGAAATGTAGACGCTATCATAGGAAAATAGAAATATACATACCTGCATCGCTCGAATAATTGTTCCAACAAATGGTAGGGCATCATGAGACTCAGAACAAACAATGGTTGGGAACAATTCATAGAAGAAGAATATGGGTTCTATGTACGAGATATGATTGGAAACAACAATAGGTGCGAGTTCCCTAGGAGCAGGCCTTCCTTTCTTTCTGATCCAGTGGTACCTGATAAGAAGAAAGTGAGTGCCCGACTAAGATCAGACAGTGTACACTAGCATCACAAGAAGAGAGACTCTGAGAAAGAGTACGCATCCAAATACTCAGATCAACTCAGCGTAAACTAGCAGCAAAAGAAGCAGCGCACAAAGAAATTCCATGGCCAGAAGAAAACTAAAATTTGAAGGTAAATACATGTAGCAAAAGAAGATAACACTCATTGTCCATGCTCTAAAGTTTTGAATCAAATGCTTGTTATTCCTGTGCGATTCTGAAAGCCTAAGACACAAACAACACCATAGCCACGTTTGTTTTTTCCTTTGCTATATTTTCAGTATAGAGAAATTGCCCACCATTCGGGTTATTGAAATCATTGCAATCGATGGAAGACCACAGGAGAAATTCCCATTTGTAAGATGGTACACCCCACAGTTCATTTCAGCATGCACATGCACATGGCATCTCAGTTTGAACTGTGCACACGTTTTCGCTCTTCAGTTCCAGACGTAACCTAGCTGAAGGCATGTACGATACGAATGGTCCAACAGCGGTTTCTAACTCGTTCGTTTCCTATTGGTCTCTTCAAAGCTGCAATTCATGAAGGTCAGCTTCAACACGCCATAAACACATCTGCGGCACGGACATTCAGCTTCCGCTACAGCATCGTCCCACCAACCACATCATTGAGGGGCTCCCAACAAAACCGCACGTGTTGCGAATCAGCAACCCTCCAAATCCAGCAAACGAACCCGCATCGCACAATCGCGTCATCGACACACACAGGAATAGAAAGCCCCATCTCGCCACACAAATCTAATCATCTATTATTTTTCAGAAAAAAGGACAGGTTACCGGAAATTAAAGCGATTATTAGGTTTCAAATTAGATCAAAAAATCAAAACGAGACCGAGCTTACGATCCAGACCCAATCCAAGCATGTAACCGCGTCTGGCGATCCAGCAACCGAGCAACTCACCCGAATGAGAAGAGGATGCAGCGGGCGGAGATCCGCGTGATCCACATGAGCCGGCGGCGCCACGCCGGCATAGGCCCGCCGCCCTCCCGCGGCTTGCCGTGCGTGTCCGCCCAGCCGCGGAGAGCCACCCACGTGGCCGCGTACCCGATCGCGATGGCAAGCCCGAACAGCGCCAGCCGCACCGCGGCCACCGGCAGGAGCAGCAGCGTCCTCGCCCACGCGTACGCACCGCCGCCCCACGCCGGCGTGACGTTGCGGAACGGGTCGGCCGGGGACGGCCCGCGGTCCCGCGGCGGCCGGTCCTCCGAGAGG